CGGACCCGGGCGTTGGAGCTGCTGCTGGTGCTGCGGACCCGAGCGTTGGGGCTACTACTGGTGCTGAGGACCCAGGTGTTGGAGCTGCTGCTGTTGCTGCGGACCCTGGTGCGGGTGTCTCTGCTGGTTCTGGTGTCGCTGCACGGTCACGGCCGTACTTCGTTCCACTCCTTCAGCAGGTTCTTGGTCAGCTCCCTCCTCCTTGTCCTCCTCCCTCCTTAGCGTGTCCTCCGTCTGTCCAGCTGCGGTTGCAGTTACCGTCTGCCTCCTCTCTCCCTGGTCCTGCTCCTTAAACTGGTCCGACTGGAGGTCTTACTGAGCGTCGTAAGCCTGAGTCTCGTCCTGCGTCTAGTGAGTCTCATCCTGCGTCGCCTGTCTGTACTACTCTCACTGGTAGTCGTGTCCAGCGTCAGCTTCTTCCTGCTGTCCCAGGCACTCACTGGATGGCGCTTCGTCCGTCCACTGCTCCACAGCGTGTCCCACTGCCGTCTCCTCCTGCTTCCTCTCTTCCTGCTCTTGCTGACCCTGGGTCAGACTCTCTTCGTGCTGCCAGTCCTACTATCACGCGTCTCCTAGCTACTGTTGTCACTGACCCTTCCTTTGAGTCTGCTGTTGCGTCTGCCTTAGTTGCTGAGCTTGTCGACTTTGCTGCCACCTGTCGTCTAGACTACGCTGCTAGCCTGGTTGCTGAGTCTGAGTCTGTCTGTCCTCCGTCCGTCGGGGGTGAGTGTGCTCTTGGCACTGACGTCCTTGAGGACAGGCAGGAGGAGTTTGAGTGTTTTGCTGCCGCTTTGCCCCATCTCGTGTCCATGCTTGTTGCCCCTGAGGGAGACCCGGATGCACCAAACATCCCGACCCCACGCTCTTACGCAGAGGCGATGGCCGGTCCCTACTCCTCTCAGTGGCAGTCGGCCATGGACACAGAGATGGCTTCCTGGAAGTCCACAGGCACCTACGTCGACGAGGTTCCCCCACCTAGGGCGAACATCGTTAGTGGCATGTGGATTTTAAGGGTGAAGCTGCCGCCGGGCTCTCCGCCTGTCTTCAAGGCGCGTTACGTTGCACGAGGCTTCAGTCAGCGAGAGGGAGTTGACTTCTTCCAGACCTTCTCCCCGACCCCAAAGATGACCACTCTTCGGGTTCTGCTGCACGTCGCCGCTCAGCGTGACTACGAGCTCCACTCGCTTGACTTCAGCACCGCTTTCCTACAGGGCAGCCTGCACAAGGAGATCTGGCTGCTCCGTCCACCTGGCTTCACTGGGTCGTTCCCTCCTGGTACCCAGTTGAGCCTTCGACGGCCAGTCTACGGTCTCCGCCAGGCGCCTCGTGAGTGGCACGACACACTGAGGACTACACTTGCGGCTCTTGGGTTCGCGCCTTCTACTGCTGACCTGTCGCTGTTTCTATGCACTGACACCTCACTGCCGCCGTTCTACGTCCTTGTGTATGTCGACGACTTGGTCTTTGCTACTGCTGACACTGCGGCACTCGCCCACGTGAAGTCGGAGCTGCAGAAGAGACACACGTGCACAGACCTGGGTGAACTGACAAGCTATCTTGGCTTGCGGATCACCCGGGACAGAGCACGCCGCACCATCACCTTGACTCAGTCACACATGGTGCAGCAGGTCCTTCAGCGCTTCCGCTTCACGTACTCCTTGCCTCAGCCCACTCCTCTGCCTACCGGTCACTCGCTCTCAGCTCTGCCTTCGGATGAGTCCGTAGAGTCGAGTGGCCCGTATCCAGAGCTTGTGGGTTGCCTCATGTACCTGATGACCTGCACTCGACCTGACCTTGCATACCCTCTCAGCATTCTTGCACGCTATGTCGCTCCCGGCCGTCACCGGAAGGAGCACATGGATGCAGCTAAGAGGGTGTTGCGCTACTTGTGCAGTACGTCGGGCATGGGGCTAGTGCTTGGAGGGCGAGTCCCAGTTGTTCTCACTGGGCACTCAGACGCTTCTTGGGCAGACGACCACGCTACTCAGCGGTCGTCTCAGGGCTACTCCTTCAGTCTTGGCTCTGGTTCAGTTTCTTGGCGTTCTACTCGCTCTTCTTCTGTTCTCAGCTCCAGTTGTGAGGCTGAGATCTACGCCACAGCCATGGCGGCCCAGGAGCTACGCTGGCTCACCTACTTGCTGACCGACCTCGTAGAGCAGCCTCGTTCTCCTTGAGTGCTGTACGTCGACAACAAGGCAGCCATTGCCTTGTGTGAGGAGCACAGACTGGAGCACAGAACGAAGCACATTGCTCTGCGTTACTTCCTTGCTCGAGAGCTGCAGCAGCGTGGTCAGCTTCGCTTGCTTTACGTGGCCTCTGAGGCCAACACTGCTGATGTGTTCACCAAGGTGCTTCAGCCTTGTGACCATCAGCGCTTTTGCACTCTTCTAGGCCTTGTGCCTACTGGACCTCACTTGCTGACTTCTTGAGTCTGTTTGTACTGTGATCTCTATATATATACCTGCATGTTTACTCTTGCTAGGTTGTGATCATTGTACCTTTTGCCTCTATTATAAACCTGCATGTGAACTAGTCTTGTGGCCACTTGCTTGTGCTCGGAATTTGTGTGGTATCCTTGAGATCCACCCTTAGCTTGTTTTGTCTTGCTTTGTCTTGACTGGTCTTGTGACCCCTATTTCTCCCCCACTTCGCCTATGGGGGTGTGTCAAACATTATATATGTTGTTGTGCTTGTTTAGGCTACAGTGGGTTAGCCTGTAGGGGGTACACAATTCTAGGGTTAGGTATTTGTACTGTCTTCACTCTTAGTTCATTCATTCCTGTTCAGTGATTCTAACAGTATAGGATTTGGAGAACACGAATGGCTCCACAATACTCGGACCAGCTCTGTATCCCAAGAACTGTCGAGATTAGCTAAGGGGAATGAGGGGATTAGGTCAAGGGAGGGGTACAACAACAACATCGAAAGAAATTCTGTACCCCCTAGTGCTATCACCCATATAGCCTACATCATATATGTTTTGACACACCCCCATAGGCGAAATGGAAGATAGCCAGAGAAAGAAATGGTCACAAGACCCGTCAAGAGAAGCAACAAAGCACAGCAAGCTCAGGGTGGATCACGAAGTCACCATACACTCTAAGCACAATCAAACGGCCACAAGGCCAGTTCACATGCAGAGTTAAATAATGAGAACAAGTAGTACAGTGATCAAAACCTAGCAAGTGTAAGCATGCATGTATAAGCATATAGATCACAGTACAAGCAAAGTCAAGAAGTGAGCAAGTGAGGCCAACTAGGCACAAGGCCAAAAATAGTACAGAAACGTTGATGATCACAAGGCTGAAGTGCCTTGGTGAAGATATCAGCAGTGTTGGCCCGAGAGGCCACATAAGCAAGACAAAGCTGACCACGCTGCTGCAACTCTCAAGCAAGAAACTAATGCAGAGCGATGTGCTCCTAACATTAGGCAATTATGGCCTTGTTATCGACGTACAGAACTAGAGGAGAACGACGCGGCTCTCCCAACTCGGTCAACAGGTAGGTGAGCCAGCGTAACTCCTGTGCAGCCATGGCCTCTACGTAGATCTCAGCCTCACAACTGGAACTGAGAACAGAAGACGAGCGGGTAGACCGCCACGAAACAGAGCCGGAGCCAAGGCTGAAGGTGTAACCCTATGACGACCGCTGCGTAGCCAAGTCGTCAACCCAAGAAGCATATGCGTGTCCATTGAGGACTGTCAGAATGTTATGTTTGTCTAGCCTGCAGTGGGGTACTGAACACTGAGTACAGCCCAACTTAGGGTTTCCTATATGTACTCAACTGCTTGCTAGTGAACACCTCTTCTTCTTTTCTCGTTCTTATCTTCACAAGGACAACAGGACCCTGTCCTCCAAGCACGAGCCCCATGCTTGACGTACTGCACAAGTAGCGCAACACCCTCTTAGCGGCCTTCCAGTGCTTTGGTCGGTGTCTCCCGGGCGCAACGTAGTGAGCCAGGATGCTAAGAGGGTAGGCAAGGTCAGGTCGAATGCAGGTCATCAGGTACATGAAGCAACCCACAAGCTCTCGATATGGGCCACTCGACTTTACGGACTTGTCCAAAGGTGGAGCTAAGAGTGAGTGACCGGTAGGCAGAGGAGTGGAGTGTGGCGAGGAGTACTGGAAGTCGAAGCGCTGAAGACATGCTGCACCATGTGTGACTGAGTCAGGGTAATGGTGTGCCGTGCTCTGTCTCGGGTGATCTGTAAGCCAAGATATCTATGCACCTCACCCAGGTTTGTGCACGTGTGTCTCTTCTGCAGCTCCGACTTCACTAGGGCCAATCCCTAAGTGTCAGCAGCTCCTACACGAGGATGTAGAACGGCGGCAGCGAAGTGTCGATGCGTAGAAACAGCGACGGGTCAGCAGTCAAAGGAGCAAACCCAAGAGCCGCAAGTGTCGTCCTTAGTGTGTCGTGCCACCTGCGAGGTTCTTGGCGGAGACCGTAGACTGGCCGCCGGAGGCTCCACTAGGTACTTGCAGGAAACAACCCAGTGAAGCCACTTGGGCGACGCAGCCAGATCTCCTCGTGCAGACTTCCCTGTAAGAAATATGTGTTGTAGTCAAGAGAGTGAAGCTCATAGTCACGCTGAGCAGCGACGTGCAGCAGTACCCGAAGAGTAGTCATCTTCGGGTAGAAGAGAAGGTCTGAAAGAAGACAATTCCCTGTCGCTGACTAAAGCCTCGTGCAACGTAATGAGCCTCGAAGGCAGGCGGAGAACCAGGCGACCGCTTGACCCTGAAAATCCACATGCCATTAACTATGTTCACCCCAGGAGGGGGTAATGCGTCGACGTAGGCGCCTGTGGACTTCCGGGATGCCATCTCTGCGTCTATGGCTGTCTACCATTGAGAGGAGCAGGGACCCGAAATCGCCTCTCCGTAAGAGCGTGGGGTCGGAATGTCTGGTGCAAATGGGTTTCCCTCTGGTGCAATCATCATGGACACGAGATGAGGTACAGCAGCTGCAAAACACCCAAAGTTCTCCTGCCTATCCTCAAGGAACGTCCGTGCCAAGAGCACACTCACCCCCGACAGACGGGGGAGAGACAGACTCCGACTCAGCAAAAAACCTAGCGGCGTAGGCGAGACAACAACGAGCAGCAAAGTCGACAAGCTCAGCAACTAAGGCAGACGCAGCAGTGGACGTAAAGGAAGGGTCAGTGACAACTGTAGCTAGCAGACGCGTGATAGTAGGGCTGGCAGCATGAAGTGAGTCAGACTCGGGGTCCGGAGCGTCAGCAAGGGAGGACGCAGGAGGAGACGGCAGAGGGACACGTAGTGGAACAGAGGAAGGACGAAGTGCCATATGGTGCGTGCCGGGGACAGGAGGAGGACGCTGACGCGGGACACGGCGGCCAGTGCAAACAGCGCGAACAGGCGAGGTAGGAGGAGACGCAGCCTCACGACGCTTTGTAAGACCTGCAGTCCGCTCAGTGTAAGGAGAAGGAGCAGGCAGTGGGGAGGCTAGTTGTAACTGCGACTGCGACTGGTCAGGTGGTGGACACAGTAAGGGAGGAATAAGGCCAGTAGATGTCGGGAGACCAAGAACCTGCTGAAGGAGTGGAACGAAGTACGGTCGCGACCGCACACTGCCTCCAGAACCAGCACCAACAACACCAGCACCCCCAGGGCCAGCGCCTCCAGCCCAAGGGTCTCCAGCTCCAACGCCTGCAGCACCACCAGCTCTAGCAGCTCTAGTACCTCGAGTATGAGCACCTCCGCGACCAGCAGCTCCAGTACCTCCACCAGCTCCAGCTCCAGCGCCTCCAGCTCCAACTCCTTCAGCACCCTCAACTCCAACAGCTCCAGTACCTCCGCTACCTCCATCGTCAGCGCCTCCAGCTCCAAGCGTCTGTAGTACCTCCAGCTCCAGTAGCTCCAATACCTCTAGTACGAGCACCTACGGGACCAGCGTCTCTAGCAACTCCAGCACCTCCAAGACCAGCAGCTCCAGAACCTCCAGGTCCAGGGCCTCCAGCGGCAGGCCCCCCGGCTCTAGCAGCGCCACTCCGAAGGCTCCAGCGCTGTGCAAACCACTCGCGCAGCTGCTGTGGAGAGAGGAGGCTCTCGCTGTGACAGGCACCCGAAGGACCTCCAGTAGACAAGGTACCTCCAGGCTCAGGACACTCAAGCTTAGCACCCCCAAGCTCAGCACCCCCAAGCTCAGCACCCCCAGGCTCCGCACGCTCAGGCTCAACACCCCCTGGCTCCGCACCCTCAGACTCAACAACCCCAGGCTCAGCACCCCCAGGCTCCGCACGCTCAAGCTCAGCACACTCTAGCTCAACACCCCTAGTAGCACCAGAGTCGACAGCTACCTCGACAGGCTCGACAGGGTCTACCTGGGACACACCTGAGGGAGCACGACCCTATTGGGGGGAGGGTGTCTACCGGAGGACCTGGTGCGAGAAAGTGGGGAGGGAGAGGGGCAGTGCGGTAGGGGAAGAGGACGGTAGAAGGGAACCAACTCGTCAAAGGTGACGTCCTGAGAGGGCAAGATACGGCGCGAGGTGGGGTGGTAAAACTGCCAGCCAAGCGCGTCAGGGGAAATCCAAGGAAGACGCAGGGAATAGCGCGGGAGGAGAGCTAGTCCGCTGAAGTATCGTGGACGAAGACACAAGAGCCCTAGAGTCGGAACATCGACGCATCGCCTACCTGCCCCGTCCAACGCAGTGTAGGCGAGGTCGCCGACAAGGAGACCATGGGGCCACAGGTTGAGCTGATGCGCAGCGTACCAGACCGCAAAACGCCATAGAAAATGGGGGGGCAGCCGCATGGATCATGGAGGTACGAGCGACCTCCATGACTAAGCCAATGCGGCGCTCAGCAACCCCATTCTACCGCGGAGAGGCCGAAGTGTGAACGTCTGGCGAATGCCCTCCCCACGACAAAAATCTTGCAAGAGGTCGGAGGCGAACTCACCACCTCTGTCAGAGTGCAGATGCATGACAGGAAGGTCTGAGTTGAACCGCTCGCGGAGCTGGAGACTGACAGCGCGGATCCAAGGGATCAAAACATCAGGGGACCTCCCCCTTGCTGCGCAAGGGGAAGACCGTGGTGTAACGCGAGTTTTCGTCAACAACCAGCAGAAGTTATCGCTTGTGGCCCTGTCCACGGACACGGGCTGGGCCCCACACGTCCATGTGGAGAGTCTGCAGGGGAGCAGTCGTCGGGGGAAACGAGGAGGAGTGAGGAGTGGCACAGGGAAGGCAAGGAGGGGCAAGCAAGGGTGGGAGGGGTGGCAGAGACCTGGGAAGACCAGAGACAAAGGAGACGGGAGTGCATGCCACAGAGGCGTGGCAAGGAGGGGTAACCAAGGCAGTGGTGCCAAAGGAGAGTCTGGTGCGACAGGGCTCGACACAAGCAAGGGGCCGCAAGCTGACCTGACGCGGACGCTGACGCAGCTACCTGAGGAGGCTCAGTAGTCAATGTGTACAGACTCGACCTAGGCCGGCGAGTGAACGTGGCCAGGTGACGGCCCGTCTGTGTACACGTGCAGATCGCCACACGCTGACCCCCAGTATTGGTGGTAGTGACCATCGCATCCTGGAGGGCAGCAGTACTCACCAACTTTGTAGAGAACGAGGGGAGGTGAAGACCTGTTAGTGAGCGAGACAAAACCGCCGGACACAGGAGAACAGTGGTGGAACGTGCAAGAAATGGGCCCCTAGAGGGGTCAGCCAGTCTAACTGCAACCGGTGCAGGGAGTGGTGTGAGTGTGGTACTGACGCGAAAGAAACAGCGAGAAGCACTTGAGTCAAGCGTGAAGGTGTGTAAGGCCTCAGCAGGCGCAGTACCAGAAAAAAGCAGAATCACTAGCACCTAGAGCAGCAGCCTCTATACCTGGGTCGGGAGGCATACACACGTAACAGTCACCCTCAGCACTAACACTCCATGCATACATGGCAGCAAGGATAGCATCATAATTAAGAGCAAAGATATCCACACCCTGCCCAAGCAGCTCTGCCCAGCGGGGGAGCTCATTCGCGTCAGGAAACTCTGCGCGAAAAGCTTCGTCAAGACGGGAGAAGCAGCGGTACTGGGTGTGCAGCTTCCCGCACGTTTAATAAGTGCGAACACCTGTGCGAATGACCATACGGGCAGAGAACACCACCCCTAGACGCCCCACGCTAAGCAAACCACTCACGAAGCTGCTGGGGCGAAGGGTTCTCGCTCGGGCGTTGCTGCTGCTGCCTCTGGCCACCGCCAGAACCTCCCCTCTGAACACCTCCACCCCGACCGCCAGCACTGCTCCTGCCACAACTCCCACTGCTGCCACCACTACCGCCGCCGCCACCCCCACTATCACCACCACCGCCGCCACCACTGCCTCCACTCCCACCACCACTCCCACAGCCACCAGCGCCATCTCCACCACCTCCACCACCCCCACCACCATAGCCTCCCTTGTCCCTGCCGCCACGGCACCTCCCACTAGGAGCAAGGTAGCCCCGACCTCCTCAGCACAAAGGAAGTCAACAGCAGCAGCAGAAGCAACAGAATGGGACAAGGGGGGAGGGGGAACACCCCACAAAGAAGGGAGTGCGAGGAGTGCCACGAGAAGCGCCTACAGCGACTATGCTGGTCTCAGCTGCAAGGAGGTGCTTCTCGAGCAGGTCGACAGTGAGGTCTGTGGGGTCAAGGGCAAGAGGGAGGTTCCCAGACTGTGCTAAGAGAGTTAGGGGGGCGGGTGACGATGAAGTAGAGCGTGATGTAAATGGGAGGAGGGTTTCTTGGCTAGAAACTTGGCGGGAAGCGCGGCACAATAGCGAGTGTCACTAGCGCAAAGGTGAGTGATGAGGTCGGTGACTGTGGCAAAGGCGGAAAGCTCGGGGAACAGGTAGGGCAGTATAAGGCGGTTTAGAGCTGCAATGGCCGGGGAGGAGTAACAAGTGGCTACAGCGTCGTACAGGGCTCTAGCTGTCTTGTACTGGCCAAAGTGAGCGCGTTCGGCTAACGGCAGGTGGTTGCGAACGGCTATGCGAGTAGCAGCGTCACGGATAATCCACTGTGAGCGAGTCGCACCGTCAACTGTGGTGGAAAGGGGCGAGAGAGGCTCCAGACGTGAGGTCAAGCAGCGAGAATCCGTCCTAGAATCGCTTAGTAAGTACAGCTGCTGGTCATCTAGCCACGCGTCGAACTCTATCGGACAGCCCTCTGCATCGAACGAGAGGACACTGAGAGTAGTTATCGCGGGCAAGGCAGGTGAGCACGCCAGTAGCAGGTGTTGTAAGCGAACTCTAGGGTTGGTAACTGTGTGTCCCAGTGGCTGACGTCGTCCTTGCAAGCTATGCGCAGTAACTATTCAACCACTTGATTGAGTCGCTCTGTCTGTCCGTCAGTCTGGGGGTGGTATGTTGAAGACATTGCAAGCTTTGTCCCCCAACAGTCCCTGAGCTCCTTCCAGAACTTACTCGTGAATTTGGGGTCTCTGTCTGAGATGAGTGTAGTGGGGATGCCGTGGATGGTGATGATGCGGTCGAAGAAGAGTCGAGCAGTTGCTTCAGCTGTAGCTGTGGCGTTGGTCGGTATGAAGTGACCCATTTTGGAGAACTTATCGATCACCACGAGGATGGAATCATGTCCCCGTGAGGTCGAAGGAAGCCCTGTGATGAAGTCAAGGCTAACGACCTGCCATGGCTGCTCCGGTACGGGTAGAGGCTGAAGTAACCCTGCTTTTTTCTGCTTGCTGCTCTTCATCGCTGGCATGTGTCGCAAGAGGTGACGAACTGCTGCACGTCTGCTGCCATCCCGGGGCCAGTAGTAATACTTCGCTATCCTTGCTAACGTCTTGTTGCTCCCGAAATGTCCCGCGTAAGGTACGTCGTGAAACTCCTCGAATAGGATCTGCCGTAGCGGGGCGTAATTCGGTACCCAAATCTTTCCTGAACCCTTCCTTACAGCTAAGTCTTTCTCCCACTGTAATAGCTTCTTGGTCTGTGCTGTAGCAATCTCTGCATCCACGGAGTACCATGTTGGAATAGACCCTTGAGCAGAGGGTTCATCCCATCGAGCTGGATGCCTGCTACATGTCCGGGGCGGCTCAACGCGTCTGCCTTGTTGTGTAGCCCGGGCTTGTAGACGATGTCGTAGTGGAAGTGAGTTTCCAGGAAGTCCACCCACCGCACCTGTCGTCGTGAGAGTGTCGGCTGTGACTGTCAGGTATTTGAGACTGCAGTGGTCAGTATAGAGTGTAGTCTTGGCTCCCTCTAGGTAACACCCTCCACGCCTTGAAGGCTATGACTATCGCTAAGGCTTCCTTGTCGTAAATGGGGTAATTTAGTTCTGCTCCGTGTATCTTCTTACTGAGGTAGGCGATGGGCTGCAAACCGCGTCCGTGATCCTGCATCAGTACTGCTCCGACTGCTTGGTCACTAGCGTCTGCTTCCACCACGTAGTCCTTGTCTGGATCCAGCAGATGAGTACTGGCGCTGTAGTCAGTGCTAGTCTGTAGCTGCTCCATGGCTTGCTGATGAAGGGTATCCCATTTGTAGGGCGTATCCTTTTTCAGTAGGTCGGTTAGTGGCGCTGCTATCTTAGCGTACTGCGGCACGAACCTGTTGTAGTAGTTGGCGAAGCCTAGGAAACTGCTGTAACTCCTTCACGTTCTCTGGTACTTTCCACTTCTTGGCGGCTTCGATCTTCCGTGGGTCCACGTGTACGCCCTCGGCACTCACCATGTGCCCGAGAAACTGCACCTTCTTCAGGGCGAAGTCGCTCTTTGACAGCTTCACGTAGAACTTGTTTTTCCGTAGGATCTCGAACACCTTCCGCAGATGCTCCACGTGCTCCTTCATGTTCTTAGGAGTAGATGAGAATGTCGTCCAGGTATACCACCACGCACTCGTCCAGCAGGGGTCATAAGATGTGATTCATCTCCGCCTGAAACGTTGCTGGTGCGTTGCAGAGTCCGAACGGCATCACCAAGTATTCGTAGGAGCCGTATCTGGTACGGAACGCTGTCTTGTGGACGGAGTTGTCTGCCATCTTGATCTGCCAGTAGCCCGATCGTAGGTCCCAGCTTCGAAAATACTGTTGCTCCACGCAGTTGATCGAGTAGGTCGTCTATGCGCGGTATGGGATATTTGTTTTTTGACTGTCTGTTTGTTCAGTGCGCGGTAGTCGATGCACATCCGTAGACTGCCGTCTGGTTTTGGAGTGAAGAGAACTGGTGCGCCGTAGGGAGAGGGTGGATGGGCGGATCAGTTGTCTGTCCAGTAGATACTCTATCTGTTTTTTCATGTCTGTCAGTTCAGTCGGACTCAGTCGGTATGGTGCACGTGAGACGGGTTTCGCACCTGGTTCCTCCACGATCTCGTGCTCGTAGGGTGCGTGCTGGAGGTACGCCTGCAGTAGGTCGTCGGGCATTATCTCCTTGTACTGCTCCAAGACCTCCTTCACTGCTGCAGGTAGCTCGGAACTCGGCTTCTCCTCCTCTGCTGCTGCCATAACCAGTGCTAGGTAACACGTGTTACTCTCGTTCACCGTCTGTTCGAACCGTGCCAGTGTCGTTTCAGGTACGTCCCCTGTATCCGTCCAGCTTCGGCAGTGCTATCCGCTTCCCATTGTTGTAGATGCACACCTTGCTGTTGACCCAATCGATCTCGGGGTTGAACCGCTTCAGGAAATCTCGCCCCAAGATAAAATCTAATCCTTTGATGTTGGTGACTGGTAGCTTCAGCTTCCACCTCAACGCACCTATATGCAGTTGCAGTGATGCTTCGCCGTGGATAGAAAGCTTCGTACCGTCCACCATGGTTGCTGAAAACTGGGTCTCTTCCGCCTTCTCTCCAATTTTCTCCAATGCTCCGCGGTCACACACCGAGTGAGATGCACCGCTGTCCACCAGTGCCTGGAGGCGTCGCCCATTGCATAACACCTCGAGGAGTAGTGGTTTCTGCTGTGCTGAGTAGCCAAAGAGGGTCTCGTTAATAGGATCATAGGGTACATCAAACTTAATACCTTCCCTTTTTCCTATACCTGACTCAGCGCTTTCCAATTTCACCTGGGGGGTAGGAGGATTTTTCCGAGGCTTGTATAATTTTTCCTGAGCCTGGATGTCTCCTCTAAGCCTTGGCAGCTGTGTAGGCTTCACCTGTGGGCGACGGGGAGCCTTAACACTGTGCTGCGGGGAGAGAATATTAACTCCACGGAACGCACGACCCTTTTCTACGCTCCGTAGTATTTTGCCCAACTTCTCAGGTACCTGAATAATTTCTAAAGGCTTTTTCTTGGCCTCTAGACCTCCCCTGAATTTTTTGAAGGCTTGTAAACCACGAGAAGCAATATTCTTCGTTAGAGCATCTTTATAGGATACTTTTAACGAATTCTTACTTTCGTGGGAGTTCGGCTGGAGTTTCCCGGTCGGTGCAGAGTCTTTTTTCGCGGAGCCTCCATTCGCCTCGGCGATTTCCCCTGATGCCGCCGCCGGTCGTGACGTTTTAAATTCGCGCCATCATTTTCTCCTTTTTTCACCCGCTCCGAAGTCGCCACGTTGTCACCTTTTCCTGCTTTTCAGATCTTTACGCAATCGCCAGGTCGATCCGCGGCTACTGGCGATTCCCGTTTTTTTACTTTGGGGGTGCTCCATTGTTTCCGTCCGGAGTGCCGCACGTGCTTTCTTCATTTTGTAGCACGACAAAAACTGATGTCCTGCTGCGCCGCAAAATTCGCATTTTGTCGGCTGCTGCTTCGCGTCGTATTTGTCGATATCCATCGGTTCGGTGAACGTGGGGGGTGCCGATCGCTCCGTGCCGAATGTACGGTTCGGCGTGAAGCGTCGTGTTTCGGGTTGACTTCGAGTCAGCGCGTCGTATCGCGCGACGAAAATAATCGAATTCTAGGTGCTGGTCGACTTACTGCGAGTCAAATTGACTGTAGAATCGACGAGCGCGAATTCTGTAGGTTGCGTAAATCTCCCTTGAGCGAAATTCGCGTCCGATCTCGGCCGTTGAGGAGAAAATCGATCCGACGCTCCAAATTCCAACTTTTTTGGGCGAAATTCTCTGGGCCGTTGAGATGAAACTCGATCGAACGGTCGAAACTCCAACCTTTCCACCAGTAAATCTGAGGGGTGTTCGAAAACCGAATCGAGGGGGACTTAGAAAAATTGCGCGGAACTGGTTTTACATACCCGTATCGGCGCTTTCGTCGTCGCCCCCGCGGTTTTTTAAAGGCCGGAACTAAGCGGTTGAAGACCTCGCATGTAAACCCGCTCAAATACCAAGTGTGAGGATCTGGGATCGAGCTCAGAAAAGATGATTCAAATTGAATTGAATTGAATTGAATGTCCACCTGGGTACAACACGAGGCTATATATAGGCTCGACACAAGGCCCCGTAACCAGGTGTTACGCGAAGGTTCGCGGGTCGTGAAGCGTCCCAAACAGATCCTTACCAAATTCGGTAGAAGGCAATTCGGTGGCAACCGAAAAGCCAGAATTCGGTGCACGCAACCTAGCTCGGTGCTATAACTATAATAAAATATAGGAAAGCACCTAGCCTAGGAAATCAAGCAATTCATGCATGCATATAATTATCCTATGCTAGAAATAGCATGATAAAGTAAAGGCAAGCAAGCATAGCGGCATAAGCCGTCGTACCCTCACAAGCAGGGCAGTGAGCTGTCAGAATGTTACAATTGTCTAGCCTGCAGTGGGGTACTCTATAGCAAGTACAACCCAATTAGGGTTTCCTATATGTATGCCAACTGCTGCTAGTGCAACCCCCTCTTCTTCATTCCTCATTTTTTCACATGCTATCAGAGCATCTACGCTCCTGGCCTGTGGGCCCACCTAACTGCTTCCGCTGCTACTCTGTGTGTTGCACGCCCTGTGGCGTGCGACGCACTTTTTTCTTCCCCTCCTAGACGCCCCTCTCACGGCCCTCGCGCGACCATTAGCGGCCCGTCGCCGCCCCTAGCGGCCCCGTTGCCGCCCTTCCAGGAGCCTCGCGGCCCCTTCGCGGCCCCGTCGCCGCCCCTAGCGGCCCCGTCGCCGACCTTTCAGGCCCCTCGCGGCCCCTTCGCGGCCCCGTCGCCGCCCCTAGCGGCCCGTCGCCGCCCTTCCAGGCCCCTCGCGGCCCCTTCGCGGCCCCGTCGCCGCCCCTATCGGCCCCGTCGCCGCCACCGAGCGGCCCCGTCGCCGCCCACTAGCGCCCCCGTCGCCGCCACCTATCGGCCCCGTCGCCGCCTCCAGCGGCCCCGTCGCCGCCACTTGCGGCCCCGTCGCCGCCCTTTCGGCCCTGCTCGACCCTGCCACGGCCCCGCCCCGGCCATGCTCCGTGGCCTGGCGCGGCGCACCGAGGGGACCCGTACACCGCACCCCCCCCTCTTTCCCGTCGCCGTCACGGCTCCCTGGGGGGCCGCGGCGGACCTGGGGGGGGTGGGCGAGCGTCTCGCCCATTCTACCGCCTGTTTTGGCGCCCTGG